TATCTTGCTCTCGTAGTCTTTTTATGCAGTAACTGTCTGTGCTTATTTAATTTTTTCATTTTCTTCACTGATTCACTATTTTGGTAAACTACAAATCAAACCCTAAGTTGTTCTTGACAGTTGTAGTTGTTATTGGCTCATAGATAGTTGTAGTTCTCAATGAGAATGCTATCTATTCTGCTATGTACAATGATAATCTGAAGTTTCTTATGTCAAAAATTAGGTTGATTCCTACTCAAGTAGTGATACAGCTTTTTTTTCGCTGACCTAAGCTTCCTTGGTTCCTAAGTTTCCATGTCAAATTTTGATGTGGTTATTTACCAAGTTGTTGCCAAAGCCACAAATGATTGTTGTATCTTTTTCTGACAGCTGAAGTAGAGGCATGAGCTGAAAGCTAAAGAGCAGGCATTGGGTGAAGCTAGAATCTTTTTTGTTGTTGTTGCACAATTAATAGTGGTTATAGACTCTTGTAACCAGTTGGGTCTTCTTTTCGCTCTTGCACTTGCCCTTTGAGAGTGAGACTCACCATTTTCTATTTCAGCATCAAGATTGGGATGGCGGATGCCTTCTGTTTGTAGCATATCAGAATCTAAAACTTGGGCATCAATCGATGTACTTGTATCGGGTAAATCACTATTGATGACATCATCTGTTTGTGCACCTGTATATTGATGTGTGCTTGATTCAGTAACTGGGATTTGAGGAACGACTGTTAATGCTTCTGTCTGTCCTTGAGTTGCATATGGGAACTGATTTTCATAGAAGACTACATCTCCGAACACTATCCATTCATTGTTATCAATATCAAAAAGCTTGTATCTTTTCTTTCCTTCAACAAATCCCACAAAAACACATTTAAGTTCTTGGGGCAAACTTGTGCCTGTGAGGTTGATTATTTGTTGAATAACATAGGCATCCAAACACTTTAAGTCTGCTGTAGTCTGGCGGTCTTTGATGCTGTATTTCATACGGACTTTTTCATTTTAGGATTGCAGAAGGCAATCTATTTATAATGTATGTGGCCTGCAATATTGCTTCTCCCCGGAATGTCAGTGGCAGTGAGGCTTGGAACGGTACAGCTCGAGCTACTTGCAATAGTTGCCTATGTTTTCGTTCAACTCTTCTATTCTGTTGTGGGGAATAAGCACAGGTGGTGTGATGAATTATGCCGAATTCAGTGAAGACATTCTGACATGTAGAGGGCCAAAAATTCTCCTCCATTATTACTTCGAATTGTTTTGATTTTTGCATCAAACTGTTTTGTGATCATTCTGATTAACTTTTCAAGCAGAAAACCAGTTTGTGCTTTATTCTGCATGAGATAGGTTCAAGTGCATCTACTTTTATCATCTACAATTGTCAAGAAGTAAGAGGCACCAAAAAAGGATAGTTGATTATAGGGACCCCATACATCCACATGCATTAGTTCAAACAATGTATCGCTATGTTTATCACTACTTTAAAATGACATTCTCATCTGTTTTGCTTTTGCACATACATCACATGGTTCGACTGACCGATCTCCTTTATTATCCTTAAAACGTAATTTTTGCAGCACAAGTGAAGAGGGATGCCCCAGCCTTTGATACCAACATGTCGAGGTATCCATTACATTACTGATTATTCCATTATTCAACTGGTAATCTGAAGCAGAGCCACATGTATGAGCTTCATACTGTCTGATACTTTCTGGTTTGAAGGAGGTGGAATCAAGGCAATATAGGTTGCCTGCAGACTTGCCGACAGCCACTGTTTTGTTAGTCTTCTGGTCCTATATTATTTGGCAAACTTTAGGGCAAAAGACAAATGTAATTCCATTAGTTTTGGTAAACTTGCTACCAGACAATGAATTGTGGTGAAAGGAAGGTATATGTAACACTTCTTTTAGAGTCAGCCCATTCTTCAAATCTATATCTTCAGAATATTCGACCCTTAAAATTGTTCCATCTGGTAAATGCACTGAGCTCGGTCATTTTATTCTACTGAGACTGTGAAACTAGGAGCTATTTGCACAAATATGATTGCTGGCCCCTGTATCTATTATCCAACAAGAATTTTTTAAAGTTATATCAAAAGCTATACCTGTAAATTCTTGTGTATATCCCACAAAGTTGTGATCTACAGTGGACTTTCCCTTCAGTATCTTCGATAGCTTCTCTTGGATAATTTCCCTCATAGACATCTTCATCATACTTCCTTCCTGTTTTTCATAATTACTTCCCAATTCCTCATTATCAAGTGGAGTATCTACTATGCTGATTGCTGATTTTAGTCTTGTATGCAGCAGGCCCTTTATTTTCTGCCTCAGTTCTTTATACCAGTCTGGATATCGATTAGCTTAAAGCATGTATCTTTTATATGTCTATTCTCTTTACAATACGTGCAGAATTTTTCTTCCTTCTTGAAGAACTCCTTCCTGGAATTGCTTCTGCCTATGCTGATACTCTTTTGTGAGGCGAAAGATGTGGTTAAGGCCGCTACCTCCATCGCTTCAGTAAAACTGCTCTTCATTTGTCGTTGTCTTTCAATATTCATTACCATTGAGTATACCTTGTCAATGTGAGGCAGAGGATCAAGCAGCAGTATTTGATTTTTTGATTGATCGTATGAGTCATTGAGACTCATGAGGAACTGCATAATTTTCGAGTTGTCGTTTAGCCTTAAGACCTGTTCTGAAATGCCACAAGTGTATCTTCCACATGTGCATTATGGAGTCAGAATGATGTTGTTCAACTCATCCCCCCAGCCAGCAAAGCTTGGTGAGGTATACCACGAGGGAGTCGTTTTCTTAAGAAATAGATCCTAACTCTCTTTTTAACTGATATTCTCGGGTCCATTCGACTCACCAAACCTCTTTTCTAGTTTATCCCATAGTTCCTGAGCTGAGTTCACAAAGAGGAACGCTTTGTGGAATTCTTTTGAGAAGGAGTTTAATATCCAAGAAACCACCATAGCATTACTTGTAAACCAATCTTTATGTTCTGCTGAATCTTCAGATGGGATTCTTACTTTACTAGTTACAAATCCTAGTTTATGTTTTGCTGCCAGCACGATTTTGAGTGATTTGCTCCATGTCCGATAGTTCATGCCATTAAAAGGGATTGAGACAAGTGAAATTCCGGGGTTCTTATTTGACTTACTCATCGCTGAAGTTCTTTCAATCGAAGCGGTATTGTTCTGCACTTGATTCATCGCCTTCTGTCACTGGTGTTGCTCTGATACCATGAACAGAAACATGTTTGCTGTAGAACTTGTTACAGAGGAGAAAAAAGGAAGAGAATGAGTTTACAGTAGAAATCTATTACGAAGAAGAAAATGAATTAACAAAGGAAGAGAATGAGTGTTCTGTATGATTTGGTGAATTTGAGATCCAGTTCTGTATCATCGAACCCATTTGCCAATAACATTATTTTTCTCTTGTGCGGCGAAGTTTCTTCTTGCAACTGAGAATGTTATTTTGCTCTATAATTTTGTTACTCTTTTATATCTAAGAAATCTCTATAGCAGAATTTTATATTTAAATCATATATGTTACTGCAATTCTAGGGAAATGTTACGTGAAAGAAGTATCTTCCTCAACAGTCTGTTACATCTTAGTAAAAAAGAGTTTTGTACTTGGAGGTAGCAATTCATAGTTAGGAATTATCATAGTTCAATATGTGTGTCTGCATGCATGGTAGAAATTAGCAAGAATAAGAGTATTGGAAAGGGAAAATGAAATGGTTGGAGTGTACAGTCAAGTTGTTCAAATTACAGAAATGTAAGGTTGAAGTAGGCACCAGAAGTTTTGCACTCAAAAAATTCAAAAGCACCATACTCTATGAGGGTGTTAATTTCTCTAGGAAGTCATGGTTCGAGTTATACATTTTCTGTCCCGTGTGTCTGAGAGGTCTTGATTCGAATTATGGATTATATGGTGTTATTTTGATATTTAAAAAAAAATTGAAATCCCGTATTCCAAAAGTTACCACTTTAAATCTCTAATTTCTCAGATTTAAATCTTCCTTTGACTATAAAAAGTTATTAGTGAATTTTTAATGTGTTATAAAAGAATGATGGATGTACCCATAGCTACCCCTAACATGAACTGCTCCTTGTCAGTGGCCAAACCTAATTTCATGTGCTGTTGCACAATTTCTGGTCAACAGGCGGTGCACCGTCAGACCCAAATACAAGTTTTGGAAATTAATTTGGGACTACATTTAATGATTAGGTTGTCTACAACTTTAGAATTTCTAATGTATAAACAAAGTGGACTGTGATACGATTCGATAAGTTGATAAGCTAAATAGGATCGACATCAATTTTAAATCAGATATGGAAAAAAATACTGTTCAGTCTATAAATTGGCAGAATGAAAGTTCAAGTGGAACAAATAAACGCCACAAAAAGAAGATATTATTGGGAATGGCTTCTTATTCTATCATAACTCCGCTTGAAGAAGAGAGAAGAGTTCATTTTATAATTTCTTTGATAGGAAATTTGCCACAAAAAAAAAACATCCCCCCTCTTACCATGAAGTTGATCTTCCCTTTTCACCTTCTCTGCCTGACAAAACATTCTTTTATATATATATATATAGATTTACATGTGTATGCGTGTCTCTCTAACTGAAACATTTAATTTACTTGCAATAACATGTCCTGTTCAATTAAGCTCGAGGAGGGCCGCAGTTCAGGGCAGATGGGCTGCTCACTGGACCACCATTAGCACCTGTAATGGGAGGTTTTGCAGGACCTGATACTAATTCAGGCGTTGGGGACTTGAGCCAAGCCAAGTCAACGTTAGATTTGTCATATGCCAAGAGACAAGATGGGAAAGTTTCCATTATTGGATATGAGCCCAGAGCTACCCTCCAACAAGTTCTAATCTTCTGCACTCAGATTGTAGCTCTATACCAATAATTGTATCAGTTCATGGGAATGGAGAATATAAGTTAAAAACCGATCTTTTTTATGCCAAATAAAAATAGCTAAAAATTTTGTAGGCATCAGCCGAAAGGCTCAAAGTCCCTTTATCAAAGTGGACAAGAGAAACTTTTACACTTGGCAGAGACAAGAAAGCAGACACACAATGACTTTTTCACTCCATTTTCTCCACACACAAACACATACACATACACATACACCTGTATATTTATATTTATTTCACTCCAAGAGCAAACGTTAAAAGGCATTGTCTCGGAGACTATTCTCATCATACTAAGATTCTCTGAACTTGCAAACTGGGGCTAAGTCTTTCAACTTTTGAACTCTGTTCTGGTAAATTACAGGGTTACTATGAACTGGTACAATGATCATAACGCATATCTTCATCCCCATAAAAGTCCATGAAGTTTATATATTCCAAGTAAGGTGACATGCAAGCAATTTCCCCATTATAATTTGAGATAGGTTCCTGGTTTTCATATTGCTGCCATTGATTCACCGAGCTAACTGAACTAAACTCGAATGACGGAAAGTACTCTGATGCAGCTTCTTCCACTTGTGGGTAATCCTGCATTTATAAGTACTTATAAGAAATCAAACCTCACAAAACAAAGAATTAACGTTAAGTAGTTGTTATATACAAACACCTTGGAAGAATCAACAATTAACTCTGGTGAGATCCACGGACTTGTAGGATTGCTGTCCATACAAACATTTTCAAGTGATGGAATTACTCTTGCTTCACCATAAGGATATGGAGAGACAAGAGGACTGGCTTGACGGTTATCATTGCAGGGGTTACTCCCTTGTGGCTCACTTGCTGAAGGACTGATATCCGGGTTGCTTGAGCTTTCTCCAACGCTCTTGAATTTCAGGTCTCCATGTGTTTTTTTAACCACACGACACAAAGCAAAAGCTCCCTACAGGACATAATATACGTTAAAACAACTATAATTTCAGTGTTTGAAAGTAGATGTTAAGTCTAGAGAGTTCACCTGAACATTTTGTGAGCCTTGAGGAAGATCATCATCATAGAGTCGATATTCGTGCATTACATAATCTGTTCTATTGCCTAAAGGGGCGCGTCCATGGTAAAAAACCAAGGTCTTGCGGTAGCCAGCAATGGTAGACTGACACTCCACTTTTCGATCTTTTCCAGTTGCTTTCCAGTAACCTGATTTGGTGGCTCGATTTGTTCGTGATCCATTTGGGTACTTCCTATCCCTTGGACAAAAGAAAAACCACTCCATATCTCGTCTTGGAAGGAAGGATTTGTCTGCAAAATTGCAGTAAGCTAACTAATAAGAAAATCAATCAACATTGCTTCCATAAAAAGGAAGTAAATTTCTTAGGAATGTTGTTAGTCATTTTCAGTGTGGCATTTCTGAAAGCATCTGATATTCAGCTTAAATTAAGTCAATGATCTCTATATGAAATCCAATTAACAACAATAATATGCATAAAATTATACTTGCAAGGTGTAAATGGATTAAAAGTACCTGGTAATTCCCAAGGATCAAACTTGTATAAATCAACCACAGGGATTACTTCAAGCTCAATCTCCAGTCCTTGTACTTTTCTTTTCAAGTAATAATCAATCAGTTCCTCATCAGTTGGATGGAATCGAAAACCCGGTGGCAGCGATGCTCCTCTCATCACTCTTTCTTTCACTCACTATTTCTTATACAATTACTATACCAAAAGAAGAAGAAAGAAAAAGATAGAACACAAGAAAGTAGCTAAACAAAGATCTGTTTGGCTAAGTGCCTAAGCTGTACCTATTAAAGATCTGAAAAATCCAAAAGTAGAAGCTTTTATCCACACTTGATTTCTTGTCAAGGATGAAGTGCAACTTCCATGGATTGCACCTTTTGTATTGCATAAACATTGTCCTTAAAACTTGCTACTCTTGCTTAATCAAATTATATATTACCCACCCACCACTTACCCAGATATATAGTGAACAGAAACTGAATGATATAGAAGCAAATACCCAGTTAATTTATAGCAATACCTAGAAGCCTAATCGATTGATGTAGCAAAAATCTGATCCTAACAATACAAAAAGGTTCAGATTTTGGGTTGAATTAATTTTGGGTATAAGTGAAAAGTCTGGATGAACAAGAAACTCAATCAATTAAAAAGGAGGGAACTTAGAAGGAAATGAAGAGAGTGGAAGTAGAGTTACAGGAGAGGAATATAGCAAGTTATATAAGATTTGGAATGAGACGAAGAAGCAACCAAGTACCAAAAGTTCCTCATAAATAAATAAATTATTAATTAAAGAAAAAACATGGACCGAAAGTTTACAGATTACTTGTCTGCAACCTCTCCAAAATTCCACAGGAATGGCCCACGAAGAGAAACTCTTTTCACACTTATACAGTTACTCCCGCCCACTTAATGTCATGACCGTTGAATCCTCTCCCTCGTCCAGCTGAATCCTTGTCAGCTGGTAAAAAGGCCTTTCAAGGGGATTATCACAGTCTAATTACAGTAGCTGACATTTCCTTTTGGCAAGAGCTAAATTCTTTTTTCTTTTAAAAAAAACTTCAAATATGTATATATATATATATGTAATTATACATATTTTTAAATTTTATTCTTAAAGTTAATAGGTTTCAAATCCCTAATTAAAATTTTTGATTCATTTAGAAATTTTAAATTTCTATGATATAATTTATTTTTCAAACTATAAAAGAAAAAGAATGCGGTGACCTCACAATTTAGTGGATAATATAAAATTTAAATTAGTTGGATTAAATATATTTAAGTAGAGTTATAATATATATTTAATACACAGTAAAAACAATATTACAAAAAGGTAATCCAAATACTTTTTCAATTAACATTTAAAATAATTATATTATCTTGAGACAAAACTCAAATGTAAGTCCCACAATTTTTAGTAACTATAGATACATGATATTTTTATGACAAGATCAAAAATTATATTTAACTCATATAGTTTGATACTTGTATCTGTTTCGAATTCAAAAATATATATATTTCTAATAATCTCAATGTTTACCTATATTAATAGGGTCGAATTATAATTAACTCAAAGTTTCAAAATAAATTTACAAATCAATTTTCATTCTTATCAAAAGCAAATAATTTCATAGATTTTTTTAAACCCTCAATTTCTTAAAAAATTGGATTGATTCTCAACTTTTACTCATAAGCTGTAAAGGCCTCATTTCATAATAACAAGAAAATAGAATGATAATTTAATAGGCAATATAATTTAATACTCAATAATAAAAAAAAAACATAATCAAGACATTCATTTCAAACTAATTAACTGACATAAATAAAATGGTTGAGCAAACTAACAAAAGAGAAAGCAATTAAAATTAATAAATTAAAGTGTATGAAGCAGTGGCAAGTAAACAAAGTAGTATAGCAATAAATAAGCAACACACATAAGCTATGGCAATTATATACTGCCAGTTATCGGCTCCATCGATAACCTGTATTTAATTAATTAGGGATTGTTAGTATTTAAAATTTTCAGTTTATTATTTATTAGACTTTAATTAATCATAACGAAAGAAAGGATGATGGATTCTTACCTCGGGTCGGTGTTTAAACACCCATTTTTTACTGTACTTTTTTGTGGTTCTTAATTTCTAGATTTCTTGAGTTTTTCTGTAAAAACTAAAAATACACGTCAATTATCATGGTAATACATGAAAAACGGCCAAAATGGAGTTAAAATTCCCCTGGAGCCTGTTTAGGGTTCCGACACGGCTGCACCTCAGTACTCTGGCACTAACTCTGCCGCTTACGGCAGTGCCTCCTCTCGGTCAGGTTAGTTTCGACTGGTTCTGTGCGAAAACCTGTGAAATTTGAGATTAGGTGGCCTTTATTGGCAGAAAAAAAAAAAAAAAAAAAAAAAAAAAGACGACAATTTGGGATTTCCGATGCAGCTGCTCCGTCATTCATCCCTCGCAGTTGCGGTTTTTTTTTTTTAGGTTGTCTTGCACGCACTGGAAACACATTAGGAAATCAATGGTCAAAAAATAAATGGGAACACAAAGGGGATTCAGGCTCATCAGAGGGGTTTTGGGTTTTGGGTACAGCGGCTCGGTTGAGCTCCGCCCTCTGTTTCTGGCTTCTCATTTAGTTTTTCGGTGCTGATAAGGGTTTGAGGTGGCTTAAAATTGAAAGGGAAGAAAAAACGAATCAGAACCGTCCGATCAAAGGCACGTGGACCATTCGATCGTATCTTAAGGGGAAACAGATATGGATCGTTTGTGCGCGCGGGAGCAAATCTGGACCGTTGGATTAGTTGGCATGCGAATTGCCCACGTGGCTTCTTACGTGGACGCGTATTCGCATCTCTGCCACGCGTCGCACGACAATTAGCCGTGTTACTGACATGGCGGTCCTACGTGGCCATTTTTCTATTTTTGCACTTTTGTCCCAGTTTTTCAATTTTTTTTTGAAATAGGTCATTCTTTATTTTCAATTTCGCCCTAACTTTTAAAAATTATTTTCAAATACACTCAAAATGTATATATTTTAAAAAATTATAAGAAAAATTAAAATTAAAATTATTATTAATATAAATTTAATTACCCGACCTTAAATTCCGGAATCAAAGCGTTACATAAGCAACAAAAGAAATTATAAAATTGATAAACAATTAAATAAATCAAAATTCAAAATATCTCAAAAGAAAATCAAAATAACTTGTAGAACAGATTATCAAAAGAGTCACCAAAAATTTAAAACTTA